CTCGTAGATGTGAGCATCCCAGCCGATAACAACCTCCAAGAGAAGACCAGGGAGAAGCTGGAAAAATACTCCGAACTGAAAGTGGAAGTGGAACAGTTGTGCGGAATGAAGACCACCATAGTTCCGATCATCATAGGCACTACTGGCGTCGTCCTGAAAGACTTCAAAGGACATGTCAAGAAGCTGGAGTGTGAAATCTCACTCGATATCCTCCAGCGTACAGCAATCTTTGGCACGGCCAGCATCCTTCGCCGTGTCCTTCAGAATTAAGACGAGTATGAGGTCTGGGATGTGGTTCATCCCCCCTCATATCTCCAATACCGGCAGGTGCCGTGGAAGGATTTATTTATTTATATATATATGGCACCTGTGTAATTTTTTTTTCTTTAGGGATTATATATTGCCTTTTTAATACTGCAACCAGAGCTTTCACATGTCTTTTGTAGTACATTCAAAATGGAAATATTTTTTTAAAAATTTTATTTCTGAAGAAATATGCATGGAAAATTATAAACCACCCATTCCAGACGAAAAAGGTCTCTCCCTGCTCACTCACCTATTCCTCAATATTTCTGATTCGTATTAATTTTCGTGAAAATGGATTTCAATACCATCTTTTCTTCGTTCCACACGATTTTTGCAGAAAACACCTGATGGTGAATTGTCAACGGCAATGGAATGAATGCCAAGCAGAGGAAAATGTGGCCTTGCGATCATCGCCGTATCACATGCAAAACCGAAAAAAGTAGCAAAATATGATTTGAAAACTTTATTGCACTCCTCGAAAGCTCAATACACCAATACAGAAAAGAAGAGGTCATGAAAATTGCACCTGCAGGAAACTTACAAATTTGTCAGGAATTGCAAAAACCAATGCAGTGGATGACATGTGTGGAACTCGAAGGGACATGCCGCATAGCGACATTAAACTTCGTCTTAGAAATGCTTTTCAAGAAAAATAAAGAACAAACGGAGAAGATTCTTTAAAATGATTATTTGCCTGGGGGTTGTTGGATCGTTTGTCCGCTGAATTCACTTACGAAAAATATATAATAGGGAGAAATTCGAATTTTGAAAATGAAATGATGCTCGTTTTCAGCATTCGTTTATCTGATATTTTCCATTTCAATTTAAAGTTGTACTTCATGGTAAGAGATTTGTAGAATTAAACCAGAGAATTAAACCATAATTAAATAAATCCAAGAAGAGGGCTCCATTCATCAACATTGAGAAACTTGGTCTAAGAGTTCCTTCATGTGAACCATGAATGGCGGTCTGAATCTTATTCGTTTAGTAGGTGCTGTGATCTCTGACAGATTACAGAGTGTCTTCAATAATTCCAAAATTCACAATATCTTCAGAGGCACTGCAGCATTTCCATAAGAGCAGTACCACTAATATTTATAAAAAAAATTATATTGTGAAGTGTCAGGGGTACACCAAAAATCTGGTCATAACATTAAAAGTTGACGAAATAGAGTAAGAAATGCTCGGTAAATATGATAAAGCACGAAAGTTTCCAACCAATGAATATGTACAGTGAGGAAATGAAGCAGGATTGAGGTTTCTAATGAGGTCAGAAGAAATCACCAAATGAGTGCAAAGTCATGAAATAATATTTTCCTCCATTTTCCCAAATATATTAGTTACTATATTTTGCACTAGCAATGCTAGAAACTTGAGCTCAATTGTTAATTTGAACTGCTTAAAATGGAGTGGAAAGGAAAAACAGAATGTTCATGTGAGTGGCGTTGGCTGTATATATGCATATTTAACACACATATTAACAGCAAAAGAAAACATATATATAGAAAAACAATAAATCTTTGAAAATTGGTATACCAGAAAAGAACGGCTTCTATGCCAGGGCATGTTAAACATGAATTGAAAAATCTCAAGGAACAATTTGTCCATCACTTGCGAGGCTTGGAGGAAAATAGCCTTGCCTCCTTTAAAAAAGGAGACGGTCCTCATTTCTGAGGTTCTCTTCATTAACAGCCATGTAAAGCAGAGGAACTCAAAGAAAGTAGCGAAATGTCATTCCATTCTTCTGACGAGCGGAGAATCTGCGCCTCAAACTTCAATCAGGCCATTGAGGTGAGGTGCTGCTTACTTGATGGGAATTCACCTTTCACTTTGACAGGTATTGACATTTTCAAAGGTCTTGATGAAGGAGAACTGTGTTCAATATGAGGGCGAGTGAAGTCATTGGACAAATATTCTTGAAATATATGTGATATACACTCCTCCTAGTGGATTCAATGAAAATACTACATTCGCACCCAGCTGTAAACAAAGAAAGTAAAAAAATAATGCAATTTCTTTTAGAAATTACACATTCATCCACTAACAGCGCGTGAGTCATAATGTGAGTGATCATAAAAATTATGCACTATTTAAATGATGAAGCAAAGGGGAACAAAGGAGAAGTAAAATATATGTATACACAACGACTCTGAAAAAACAGCCTCAAAACAATGCCACGAAAATGCAATATCTAATAGGAAATAATCTTGGCCATTCTACAAGGATGCTTCTATGATCTCCTGAAGGAATCTAGACTCGTGATTCTCGTAGGAAGAATCAAAGGAGAGCTATCGAACGTCTTCATGTTTTACATCCATTGTAGGGCAAAATCGGGTCGGATATGGAAGAGTCTCCTCGGTCGAAGGTGAAACTGCTCTAAAAGGATTTTAGAGTCCACTGGTATGTGCATCGTGAACAGCACATCGAAAGAAATTTGAAATGTGCAAGTGGAATTCGTCATTGGACGATCGAAAAATAAAACTCGCCTCACGCTCATCTCCGGAAACGTCATCAAGTAACCTTTGAATAGCTCATTGTGGTAGTTTAATTTCGCAGATGTATCCGTTCGCGGGATCGGTGCACCAACGGTCATTCCAGCAAGCGATGCCGGTATCATAATTCCAAACCCAGATGCAATTGTCACCTGCATAACCATCTGGTTCGACCGAGCAGAAGTAAGATTGACCTTGCCCGTCGACAGAAACGTTGGTACCTGAAAAGAAGAAGACAATCATTTCAGACTCTGAAAAATGGGAAATAATCCTAATGGATCTTAATAGACGTTAATGCAGATCGTAGGGTGGTAGGAATAACGATCCAAGTATATCGTGTTCTACTGTAAACATATATTTTTCTGGAGCCTGTGTCTTTGCTCCTAGTGTAGCGAAATACGCAATTTATAAATTTATTAGAAGCCCTGGATACTATATTTCGATTGAGCCTTTTTCCTTAAAAAATATTAGGATCTGGACGAAGTTACACATGCAACTCACAATTTTTTTTCTTCTAATTTTATGGGAGTGATGCCTGAACACGTTGAGGAAGGTGATGGGAAAAAGGCGAACCCTGCATCAAAAGAAAGAAATGTAAACTATTTCATGGAAGGTTGTGCCTAAGTTCAAAGTTGAAATATATATTTTGGGCCAATTTAAGAATAAACAAAATCTTTCTCAAAAAGTGGCATTTTTAATGATAGGCATTCGATTCCTATCTCACAGCAAATTTTTGGTTAGGGGTCTGCGAACTAGTCACTCAGTGCAAAAAGGGTGGAGAAGAGGTGACGCACTTTCTATAAATAGTTTTGCCAACCATTAAAACCCGTTCGATATTAAGAAGCCGGAAGCTTTAATAGGCACCCATCATTTCCGAAGACGATGAATAAACTGGACTGACTACTTAATCATTATTGTACTTATGCAAAAGTTCAATAGCTCTGGGCTTGCCAGCAAAAAGCTGGGAATGTAGACTCACCATCTGGGAATGTCCAGTGGTACATGTCCGCGACGCTCAGCCCACCGACCCAGTAATACTGACCAGCAGGTACACTGGCCCATTGTTGCTTAATGTAATTGTTCACCAATGCATTGTTGGAGGAGACCAGTTCACTGCCTTCATTCTTGCACGCCAACGCAGCATTAGCTTGATTAATGCTTTGCCCACCGACAAGCTTCACGTAACAATTTGTTCCCGGCACCAGGTTGTACCCTTCCAAAGAGACAATGATTTCGAGTTTATTGTCAAAGTAAAATGGTGGAATATAATATGGAAATCATTTAAGGAAAGATGCTATTGAAGTGAAAGGATCCACAATCCGCTGAGTAAGAGAATTTCCAACAGGTAGCTGAAATTTTTTCTATGTTGTATATTTTTCTTTCACGCTTTTGAGCATGGCTCAGCTTCTTCGTTAAATTTCAGTGGCTTATGGAGCAAAAATAATTTAAAGGACTGGATTTCCAGGAGAGTGCTAATTAAATCAAAGCTGCCTTTAGAAGTAAAAGTGTTCTGTATCAAACTATCTTCATGCTTGTAAAAGCAATATCGACATATCGCAGAGATTCAATCAGACTTCCTTAAAGGGAGAATGACAAAGGCGATTAAATGTTTTTGGAAGCAATTTAGATGCAAATATGATGAATCTCTCACTTCGAAAGCTTCCCTGACAGGAATATAAGGGTTACGAATTCATTCACCTGCAGGTATTGTCGCCTCTCTGTAGAAGAATTTGCTCGATACATCGGTCGTCCTCGGTTGGTTGTATTTGTATCCAAAGCTACATATGAGAGTTCCAGAAGCCTGTGTCACAGAGAAGCTCAAGCACGTCGAATTCCTGCATAGATAAAACATCGTTAAGGTTCTTAGAAATAAAATACATTATGCATATAACACATCTGCGTTTCATTTCAACGACGTAACACAGGGTTCTCTTTCTCCTGACAGACTTTATATTAACTGTACCGCAAATCGTTTCGAAATAAAAATTTCGAACGGTGCCATGTTTGTAGTTCCTGTGGGGATTTCTTACATATTTTTTTTCATTTACGTCAGTAGCAACACTCCAAGGTGCGGAATACATTAATTATTTTGTGCATACCTTAATTTTCCTTTTTTGGAATCTATAAAGCATTCTTTAACCCTATGTTGCATGGTGTCTACATTTGTGGAAATTTTATTAAATTCATTTTGCAGCTCCCATCCGCCAAAACTCTCACTAAACCATAATTTTCAAATTTGAGGACACCACAACTATGGGAGTAAAAACAGAGATGACCTCGCCACTCTCCAGTGCCTCCACCATTTTTTCTTTTGTTCTTGTTTGTTCATCCTCGGGTGGCGACAGGTGGTGGTCTCCCTAGTTATTTTATTTAATTAGCAATTAGCAATTAGCAATTTTGGAATTTTTGGATTAGTATTGTAATGCATTACGGAGAGGAGAACTTTCATGTGGACCAACCACATGTTCCTCCATGACATGTTTTTTGGCAGCAATAACTCCTTCGTTTCAATATTCATTTCTTGATGGTTAACCTCTGAAGCAATGTCAAGATATTAACACTTAAAGCAATAACATGTTTTTAGTGTTTTTAATTGATGTGGACTAATTGGGATGCATGTGCCAGATTCATGCATCAGTTTGATGCATATATCAAGTTGTAAAAACGTTAGGGTTTTTTCTGCAGTTGTGTTACCGAAGTGAGTAATAATAATTTATTTCAAAAATAAATAATTTGAGTAATTTATTCCAGTAGTTTCCTTTTTTGCAACAAAGGGTTAACTTTAGATTGAATATTTGCTGCTTGAATGGATGTTACGAGGGTGTGAATAATTTCTTTTAAGCATTAATCTGAATTGAAGTTGCGAGGAACTCACTGCATGCAAAGCATGGCGCACTGAAGCTCATATTCAACGATCATCTGCTGAGTCGGGGACGTGATTTTCATGTTCTGGTTCTGAGGGACGAAGAATCGTTGAATCACCATATCTCCCATCGCCCTCCATATGAACCAAGTGAGAAGCCAGGGTAGCAGCTGCATCTTCCTCCGATTCCTTTCGCCGCCCAAGTGGAAGGGGAAGCGGCTCGCACAGTCTATACATGCTTGCCCAGTTCGACGACCTTACGTCATATGTCTCGTCTGCTACAATCGTTCGATCTGGTCGGTCGGCGCCGCAGAGGCATGCAACCTGTACCTGTGGAAATTATATATTGTCCGAAGATCTAGTTACTATGCTCTCTTATGCTCAAATCAATCTCCTGTTGTTGATCATATTTTCATCGAAGGATGGAAACTGATATTCATTTTTCGGTGTTAGCATTTCTCATCACATGTACAAAGAGAATATGTATTCAGGTTACCTCATATTCTCATACCGCTAAGATGATTTAACGCACTAAAAACATTCTTTGTCGAATGATACATGAAAGAGTGATGCGAAAGATGTCATGAGTCTTAACACACTTGACGCACTTAAAACAGTGAGTCATTTGGATCATCATACTACAAATGACACAGGCCCACGTGTGTCAGATGACACATTAATAATCTCTGACTCCTGGGCATACAGAAAGTCAAATGACACATGAAATAATTCTAGCCACAGAATATGTCATTCGACAAAATCTTGACACGTTCATTGGGACCATTTGGAACAATTATATTGGGACACATTTGCGTCAAAAAGCGTTAATTGATATTATCACGTGACATATTTCTCTGCAATTCTCGAGATTACTATGAAGTAGCACTTGCGTCTCCAAATGCGAAGCTTTTCCGCAAAGTGTCTCTCTTTCTTCAAGAGAAAGAGCATTTAAATGAGGAATTTTCGTTTACGAATGTGAAGACCTAGAATTGTTCCCCATAAATGTTCCATATTTAGGTCTCCAAGGTGATACGACCCAGCAATACCATGATACTATGGCAACATATATCGGCGAGTACGTGTATAATGTATAGACCTATTTGCTAATGACTCCCTGCGACATTGAAATCTTCAGGCTGGTATTCGTGAGGAAGAACCAATCTGAAATACCCAATTCGGCCATCCTCAGGCGAGTACTTGCCAGAGAGAGAGCTTGATAAAAAGTAAAAGGCTAGTTTATCATGGCACCTTGAGACGCAAAGGAAAGGTCGGCGCCACGAAAATACGAAGAAGCAAGGTAGAAGCAATTCCAACTAAAGAAGCAGATTCCTATCCGCACGGCCCACACCCTTCCCAACGATACCTATCTACTCGCTGCAAATGAAGTCTGTTTGGTCCATCGGTCGCTAAGGAACGCATGAATCAGGCATGTTACCTCATCTTCAGGTCGGCCGAGTCCGACCGACTGGATTATCGATTTCACTTGCAATCAGTTCCTATCTTTGTAATATTCTTCTTCCTTGAAATTGCTCTAACGCCATGGCTGATGATAGCCAAGAACACTTTATCATCGCTTTCATCACTTCACCACGAGAAAGAAAGCCAGGGAAGTAAATTGACATCCAGAGCGGGTGAAGAGCATCGCAGCATTTAATCGCCAGCTCTACCACTTCATGCTTAGACCGCCCCTTGCTTCCCTTCTCCTCCTTCAAGGCTTTCATCTGGGGAAGCCCATGAGACCAGGTGAAATCTGTTGAAACCATTCAGCCAAACTTCACAAAAACATGGTGTAATCAAGTGCAGGTAGCAAATCTTTCCAATGGGCATTCGAGATTGACGGTGTAATTATTCTCATTCCATTCACGCATTTTCAGTTTTGCCCAAGAAGGCATGCAGTCTTATCCTACCTCCCTTGCCAAATAGGGCACGGAACGTCTGGCTAGAGCTAGTCACGAAAGGGGCGGGAACCACAATTTGCTTGCAACTAGTTGCCGCCTCGCTTTCGCTGAAATAATCATACTACGAGGATCATTCGATAATTATTGGCAACACTGCAGCAGTGCAACGCTCCATATTGGAGTTGGCAGGAAACAGCCTGTGTGTGAAAGAGTGAATCACGCTACATGCATCAGTCTGTTTTTGCAAGTATACGCTCGTTGTTAGTGCTGCAACAGTGGTATGAAACATTAGTTGTCACGTGAAACCGCCCTAAGGCATGTTCAGTAGGTACGAGCAACGTTGCTTCATTAAAATCCAGGTTGTGCGGGCGGTCGCGGATATCACCAAAAGTGACGCTGCTAACGGCGTCAGACGTCTCCCAGAGGTGTGGCAGCGCGTCTGCGACAAGGCAGGAGATTATATCGAAGGCATGTAAAATTTCAGGTTTCTACAATAAATACTTTTTGATTAATTACAGTGTTGCCAATAATTATCGAATGATCCTCGTACTTCCATAATATATAGTTCGTCTATGGCACTCGCATGAATGGTTCAAAATGTCGATAAATGCAGGAAGTTGAAATTCCAGACGCCCACGTTTGCCCTGGAATCTATTGTCAATGCATTCAAGCAATTACGAAACCATTTTCGAAAATTTTGGGGATTTTTCAGATCCAAATAAGAGGAATTTTATACATATTATCAATTTCACATCTCAAGTTGACCGGATGCGCCATGATTCGCTTTTGAACTGGAAGGAATTCGATCCTTCATGGAGAAGACAGAAATGCAGTAATTATGTTGCAATTAGACGGATGACATCAGTAGTCCATGTACAAGATTACATTTCCTCTAAACCCAATTCCAGTTATCCAGGACAGAGTGGTTTTAGTGGTTCTCCCAGGTGGTTTCATTGGTCTCCCTATATGAAATCTTTCGAGGACAAGAAGAGAAGCAAGGAACGGTCTGAACCGACCTGCGACTGCACTCCGGTCACGTGGGAGAATGTAGAGTTGGATGGCCGTCTGGTACGATGCTCTCTGCACCAATCGGTATTTTTCTGTCGGGTCTCCTATCTTCGAGTGGATGTCACTCTGAGTTTCCTCGTGCCTCACCGGATACTTTTCTCGGGGTGAAGTGATGGAACAATATTGGCAATTCCAACCCATGAACTAGCACGTCATTCATGCATAAGTACCACCCCCAGATCAAATGCATGACTTATTCAGAAACTCCGAAAGTCACTAATGCTTCCTTCAAGAGCATATAATATCAATTTCCCACCCTGATTCCCCCGACTCTTTCGAAACAGGGTTGATGCGGCTCGAGTTTGTTGTGCCGAAGGAATGGAGCGGTACTAAGGAATTTTAGGGAGAGGATGTACTTTTTCTGCAAAAACAGCTTATGATTGTGAGGGTAGCTGCTCCTCGACGTGCCACACCCACCACAGACCTCCTCCAGTCATCAGATAACGTACAGTCGCATAAGGCGTTCGTTCAATTATTCACTGTCGATGGCACACAGTCCCAATATCGCATGGTTGCTCACATGGGTGGGAGCCTTTTGACTTTTCGATAACGGCACTATTCCATCCCTGCCACCCAAGACGTTGGATCGATACAGTCGCGGATCAATTTATCTCAAGTGTCCCATCTCTGCGTTCTTGTGCTATACATAATTTAATGCCGGCCACAAACGTAACATTGATAGGGTAACTGGGCGAACACTTCATGTTGTATAGTGAACATCGGGATGATTATAGCGAAGCCTAATGTTAAAAGGGAATTTACAGTAGCCACTAGTCCCCTCAATGTTTAGCTGCTCTCAATGGGAGTCACTCCCGTTTCTGTGAATTATTCACGAACCACGGAGGTGGATAGTTGGACAAACTAGTCTGTTACTATCAATTATAACAAACATGTCATTTTCTACCCATATCACTGGTGAAAAAGTATATATATATATTTTTTTTCATGAAGTCCCGTCTGCTCGAATGGCCTTTAAAATTCCCACAATTCATGAGCGGCGAAAGATAGACCAATATCCCCTTTAGCTTGAAATACAGCTCCATCAGCTTAACTCAAAACTTCTCGTATGCCCGTTTAGCGGACTGGCAGCGATATTTAACCTATTCACATCAGCAAGCGTACCGGTACGTATCACAGCATGTCCTTCTATGACCTATGACCTAGAAAGGTCAAAAAGGCCCCGTGCTTCAGTCTAAGGTAACAGGATTCTTAGGCTTTTTGGCTTTTGGTTCATGCCGATAAATGGATGCGAATGGCTCCGGATTGATGTAAGCTTTAGCATCTGTCCGAAGATTAGATACTGTATTGATCGGCTAAATAAGTCCCCTCTGGGCACGTTCTTTGCACAGTCGAACTTCATGAATAGTACAGAATCCAACTTTTTTTTTCTTTCCTTCTTCCTTGAAGGAAGATAGAAGAGAACCTTTCCATCCATTCATAAGTTAGGACTTAATATGCGAAATCTGTCTCCTCCCCTAGGTTCCTTCCAGGGTATGTACGTCCAATGTTGGATTTTTGCTGGGGTCACAAATCTAACAGATATTTGTGTACTAAATTCCAGCCTCGCGTCATTTCAAGAAAATTGTTAGAATTAACGTCAGTCACTATGTCACGCACTCGTTCAGTAAAAATTGTCTATATGTATATGGCACTTGTGTAATTTTTTTTCGTGAGGGATTACATATTGTCTTTTCAATTCTGCAACCAGGGCTTTCACATGTCTTTTGAAGCACATTCAAAATGGAAATATTTTATTAAAAACTTTATTTCGGAAGAAATACGCATGGAAAATTATAATCCACCCATTCGAGACGAAAAAGTCTCTCCCTGCTCACTCACCTATTCTTCAATGCTTCTGATTCGTATTAATTTTCGTGAAAATGGATTTCAATACCATCTTTTCTTCGTTCCACACGATTTTTGCAGAAAAGACCTGATGGTGAATTGTCAACGGCAATGGAATGAATGCCAAGCAGAGGAAAATGTGGCCTTGCGATCATCGCAGATATCACATGAAAACCGAAAAAAGCAGCAAAATATGATTTGATAACTTTATTGCACTCCTCGAAAGCTCAATACACCAATACAGAAAAGAAGAGGTCATGAAAGTTGCACCTGCAGGAAACTTACAAATTTGTCAGGAATTGCAAAAACCAATGCTGTGGATGACGTGTGGAACTCGAAGGGACATGCCGCAAAGCGAAATTAAGCTTCGTTTTAGAAATGTTTTCAAGGAAAATAATGAACAAACGGCGAAAATTATTTTAAATGATTATTTGCCTGGGGGTTGTTGGATCGTTTGTCCGCTAAATTCACTTACGAAAAATATATAATATGGAGAAATTCGAATTTTGAAAATGAAATCATGGTCGTTTTCAGCATTCGTTCATCTGATGTTATCCATTTGCATTTAAAGTAGTACTTCATGGGAAGAGATTTGTAGAATTAAACCAGAATTTAAAAAATCCAAGAAGAGCGCTCCATTCATCATTCATCAACATTGAGAAACTTCGTCTAAGACTTCCTTCATGAGAACCTTGAATGGCGGGCTGAATCTTATTCGTTGAGTAGATGCTGTGATCTCTGACAGATTACAAAATGTCTTCAACAATTCAAAAATTCACAATATCTTCAGAGGCACTGCAGCATTTCCCTAAGAGCAGGACCAATAATATGAAAAATTATATTGTGAAGTGTCAGGGGTACACCAAAATCTAGTCAAAACATTAAAAGTTGATGAAATAGAGCAAAAATGCTCGGTAAATATGATAAAGCAGGAGAGATTCCAACCAATGAATATGTACAGTGAGGAAATGAAGCAGTATTTTCTCCCTTTTCTCAAATATATTATCTAATACATTATGGACTAGCAATGCTAGAAACGTGAGTTCAATTGTTAATCTGAACTGCTTGAAATGGAATAGGAAAGGAAAAAGCAGAATGTACTGATGAGAGGCAATTGCAGTATATCCGCATATATAACACTTATTCCCATCAAGAGGCACACCGTATGGATAAAGGCGAACTCTTTGAAATTTGATGTACCAGAGAAAATGAATTCTATGCCAGGGGAATCTAAAAATGAATGGAAAAATCTAATGTGACAATTTTGTCCATCACTTGGGAGGCTTGGAGGAAAATAGCCCTGATTCCTTTAAAAAAGTAGAATGTCCTCATTTCGGAGGTTCTCTTAATTAACAACCATGTAAAGCAGAGGAACTCAAAGAAAGTAGCGAAATGTCATTCCATTCTTCTGACGAGCGAAGAATCTGCGCCTCAAACTGCAATCATGCCATTCGCGAGGTGCTGCTTACTTGATGGGAATTCAACTTTCACCTTAAAAGTTATTGACATTTTCAAAGGTCTTGATGAAGGAGAACTGTGTTCAATATCAGGGAGAGTGAAGTCATTGGACAAATATTCTTGAAATATATGTGATATACACTCCCCCTAGTGGATTCAATGAAAATACTACATTCACACCCAGCTGTAAACAAAGAAAGCAAAAAAATAATGCAATTTATTTTAGAAATTACACATTAATCCACTAACAGCACGTGAGTCATAATGTGAGTGATCATAATAATTGTGCACTATTTAAATGATGAAGCAAAGGGGGACAAAGGAGAAGTAAAATATATGTATACACAAGGACTCTGAAAAAACAGCCTCAAAACAATGCCACGAAAATGCAATATCTAATGGGAAATAATCTTGGCCATTCTACAAGGATGCTTCTATGATCTCCTGAAGGAATCTAGACTCGTGATTCTCGTAGGAGGAATCAAAGGAGAGCTATCGAACGTCTTCATGTTTTACATCCATTGTAGGGCAAAATCGGGTCGGATATGGAAGAGTCTCCTCGGTCGAAGGTGAAACTGCTCTAAAAGGATTTTAGAGTCCACTGGTATGTGCATCGTGAACAGCACATCGAAAGAAATTTGAAATGTGCAAGTGGAATTCGTTAATGGACGATCGAAACATAAAACTCGCCTCACGCTCATCTCCGGAAACGTAATCAAGTTTCTTTGATTCGCTCATTGTGGGAGTTTAATTTCGCAGATGTATCCGTTCGCGGGATCGGTGCACCAGCGGTCATTCCAGCAAGCAATAGCGGTACCAGAATTCAAATCCCAGAGGCAATCGCCAGCAAGATCATCACTAGGTTCTCCCGAGCAGAAGTAAGATTGACCTTGCCCGCTGATAGTCTCGTTGGTGCCTGAAAATCAGAAGACAAATATTTCAGAGCCTAAAAAATGGCAAATGATTCTGATGCATCTTAATAGACGTTACTGCAGATTGTAGAGTGGTAGGAATAACAATTCAAGTACATTGTGTTCTATTGTAAACTGTCATTTTTCTGGAACCTGTGTCTGTGCTCTTAGTGTAGCGAAATACGCAATTAGTAAATTCATTAGAAGCCCTGGAAACTATATTTCGATTGAGCCTTTTTCCTTCAAAAAAATTTCTTATCTGGACGAAGTTATGCATACTACATACATTTTTTCTTTCTAATTTTACGTGAATGATGCGTGAGCACGTTGAGGAAGGTGATGAAAAAATTCGAATGGAAAGCAAGAAATGCAAATTTTTTCATCAATGTTTTTGCCTAAGTTCAAGGGTGAAACAGTTACATTGGTGCATTTTAAGAATAAACAATCCATTAAAAAAATGGCATTATTAATAATAGACATTCGATTCCCACCGCGCAGCACATTTCTGGCTTGGGACTGCGAAGGTGACAAAAAGGGTAGAGAGGTGATGAAACACTTTCTATAAACAGTTATGCTTTACCAACCATTAAAACCCATTCGATATTTGGGAGCCGGAAGTTCTAATGGGCCCCTATCATTTCCGAGGACAATTAAGAAATGGAGTGACTACTTAATCATTATTATACTCATGCAAAAGTCCAAGAGCTCTGGGCTCGCCAGTCGATAGCTGGGAATGAAGACTCACCATCTGGGAATGTCCAATGGTATATGTCTGCAATGCTGAGTCCACCGACCCAATAATACTGACCAGCAGGTACACTCGTCCATTGTTGCTTGTTGTAGTTGTTCACCAATGCATTGTTGGAGGAGACCAGTTCACTGCCTTCATTCTTGCACGCCAACGCAGTATTAGCTTCATTAATGTTTTGCCCACCGACAAGCTTCACGTAACTCTTTGTTCCCGGCACCAGATTGTACCCTTGCAAAAAGTCAATGATTTCGACATATCCGAAGAGATTCAATTTGACTTACCTCAGGGGACAGTGACCAAGGTAGTGAAATGAATTCGGAAGCAATTAAATGCAAATATGATGAACTTTGCCCTTCCAAAGCTTCCCTGACAGGAATATAAGAGTTGTGAAATTTGTTCACCTGCTGGTATTGGCGTATCTTTATAGAAGAAGTTGCTTGATGCATCGGCAGTCTTCGGTTCGTCGTATCTGTATCCGAAGAGGCATGTGATAGTCCCAGAGGCCTGTGTCACAGAGTAGCTGAAGCATTTCGAGTTCCTGCATGAGTGAAACATTGCTGAGATTCCCCGAATAAAATCCATTATGCCATGTTCACATCTGCGTTTCCTTTCAGCGACAGAACACAGGTTTCCTTTTCTCCTGACCGACTTCGTATTGACTGTACCGAAAATCAGTTCGATATAGATATTTCGAACGGTGCCATGTTTGTTGTCCCTGTGAGGATTTCTTATCTATTTTTTCATTTACGTCACTTGCAACACTCCAAGGTGCGGAATACATTCCTAAATTTTATTGAATATATATCCTAATTTTCCCTTTTCTTGGAATTTTTAAGGCAATCTTCACCCCCATGTTCCATGATGTCTACATTTGTGGAAAGTTCATTAAATTCATTTTGCAGCTCCCGTCCACCGAAACTCTCACTGAAACATAATTTGAGGACATCGCAACTATGGGAGTAAAATCAGAGTTGACCTCGCCACTCTCCAGTGCCTCCTCCATTTTTTAAATTTTGTTCTTGTTTGTTCATCTTCGGGCGGCGACATGTGGTGGTCTCCCTTGTTATTTCATTTAATTTTCAATTAGCAATTTTGGAATTTTGAATTTTTGGATACATTTTGGAATGCATTACTGAGAGGGAAATTTACATGTGGAGAAACCACATGTTCCTCCCCGACATGTTCTTGGCAGCAATAACTCCTTCGTTAAATTTTCCACATATTATTAATTTTTCACTATTTCCATCATGCATTTAGGGAAACCGAATGGTCTGGACGCCACATTTGAACAGTTTGCACGTCTAGGCAGAATGTATGGCCTATTGCAATCAGGCACTTGGGAGAGGCCCAGGACATCATCCTGCAATGCCCTTCCACCGTTATTCCTCAAGGAATCCTTTCCGTTAGTATCTTTTAAATTATTTCTTGCTTTGTTTTCGTGCAAACATACTGATTGACTAAGTAAAAGCACAATGAAGACAATTTTCAGCGCTCCTAGTGAATTTTTATACACACGCTCGCACAACTGCAGCATGAAATCGGTTGGAGTTTTATGGGTTTGTGGTGGATGATCACGAAGAAACGGAAGAAAAATTCCTATTAGAAAAATGACAATGGGTTCTTTTAAATCACTTGAAATATGCGCCCATATGATTTCTATTGATGAAATGTTGTACAACAACTCCTATGTACATGGTGAAAAAGCCAGAAAGGTTTCGAGGATCTTTTTCTCTCAATCATTTTCACTATTCAGTTCTTGATGGGCAAACCCTGTGGCATTTTGAAGATGGTAAAACTGAAAGCATTAACATGTTTTTAATATGTTTAATTGATGTGGACTAATCGGGATACACGGGTCAGCTTCATCCATCAGTTTGACGCATATAGAACGCTGAAACAACGTTAGTCATTTTCAGCAATTGTGCTTTTGAAGTGAGTAATAAATTTTTTTATTTATCGCCAGTAGTTTGCTTTTTTGAAAAAAAAAGTTGATTTAGATGAAATATTTGCCATTTGAATGGATGTTATGAGGATGTGAATACCTTCTTTAGAGTCTGAAAACAAATACCGAGGAACTCACTGCATGCAAAGCATGGTGCACTGAAGCTCGTATTGAACGATCATCTGCTGAGTCGGGGACGTGATTTTCATGTTCTGGTTCTGAGGGACGAAGAATCGTTGAGTCACCATATCTCCCATCGCCCTCCATATGAACCAAGTGAGAAGCCAGGGTAGCAGCTGCATCTTCCTCCGATTCCTTTCGCCGGCCAAGTGGAAGGGGAAGCGGCTTTTACAACGTATTCATCCTCGAGTCTTAGAAGACCTCACGTCACATATTTCGTCTGCTACAATCGATCGATCTGGTCGGCCGGCGCGGTAGAGACATGCAACCTGTTCTACTTGGAAAATGTAATGTCTGTCATCACAGAAGAACCTTTTTCGATAATATACACCTGGTGCCCCCCCTTCGTCCATCCATTGGACGGACGCAAGACGGAAAGCACGGGAAATGATCCTCACAAGTGCGGGCGAGCAGCACAAGACACAGAGGCGATCCGCAAGACAGTCTTTTTTTTGCAAGCTCCCCTCTCCCATATAGCATACTTTCATCTGAAATGCGATTGCGATTCGGAAAACAATGCACAGTTTGGTGAACTCTCACGCTTTCGACTCCCTTGCGTTCTTCGTGAGCGTTTTCAATAGGTGAAGGCTGTAATGAGCGACGAAAGAGCACGTCGTTCCTCGAAAATTTGTTCCTTTTGCGTAGGCTCAACGGAAGTGAATGATCGACCTTGACTCGACGTACCAACAATGGCAACAAGTTGATCTTCGCGCCTCGACTCCTACCTCAAATTGTGAATCTTCAAAAAATGGTAATCATCTCAGCCTTCCACTTCGAGACACGCATAATTGAACGTCGCTTCCTGAATCTGCGCCGGAAATTCGGGCAAACGCGCCATGAGCCGGGTGAGAGACTTCGCTTTTGTCAATTTGTGCAATTCCATGGTTGTGTAAATTAAACAAATTTCAAGATTGTTCCCCTAACGCAAATGTAAATTTGTTCAACTGTAAACTGGGTGTTAAATTTACAGCTTTAAAGCAAACTTACTGCTTGTTTTAAAATTTTAATTGGATAATTAATTTTAATTTTCAAGTAATACAACAGCGATTTCCTCAAAGTTTAATTCATAATTTCCAATAACTTAACAGTTACCGGAACGGATGCAGATCAAGGGGAACGGAACCGGACTTGGAAAGAAAAATATTAAATTCCGAATCCCTGGTTTAAACCTCTGCTTGACGACCTAAACGTATTGGACCTAGCAGAGCCATCGATGGAAAATGAAATTGATTGGAAAAGGTTGAGAACCTTGGAACGAAGCGTTAAACCTTAATTAAGCTGAATATTTCAAAACATCGAGAGAAAAACAAAATGCTAAAAGGATCTGCTTGCTAAGTTCGTGGAAATGATGCCTACCGAAATGAGGTCTATCATGTCACACATTCACACCAGGTACTAAAGAAAATTGCGGGTCATCATATGCCTCCGTCTGCCTTTTAGCGTCGTAGCTGCTAAATATGCAAAGGAGTCACATTGTGGCCGAGATTCAGTTCAGCGAGGATTTATCCCTCTTTTGGTACTATAACTTTCTCGCTGCGCCGTTTTCCTTGCTGGCGAAACACCAAATTGGATCAGGGAGTTTGAATCGTGCTTCATCATGGTTATCACGGTGACATAAGCACCTCCAGGGAGTCCAGTCAATCGGTGCACGAGTCAAAAGAGTTATCGATCAAATTTGCGCGTCGCGATTGAAGTTTCAGCCTGCCATCCGGCTTCCATTCGAACAAAGGACACTTCCGCATCAGAAGCCCTGAGTAATTCCCACGGAAAAGGACCCCACGTCTGCCTGATGGAAGGGTTCTCAGTTCGGCTGATCATTTTACAAATTTCACTCTGCGTCTTCCCAGGAATATCTGAAAGGTTCGCAGCTCTGCTTTCGCCTATGGGAATTCTACCATCCATGGAAATCCCATGGGATTCCTGTAGGATGTTTCCTGAGGGAAATGAAAGGCAAACGTAGATTGACGACTGGCATGCTCTTCAGAGTTGCACCCACCATCAGTTCATAACGTCTTGTAAAAAAAAAAAGGCACACACAAAAAAAGCAATTTTTAAAAAATTTCTCTTAAATATTCAAGTAATCTGAACCGGTCCTCCAAGTACCAACTTTGTGTATCCACGTTCACGAACAAGAATCCCATCTAAGTGAAGGCAGAAGACGTGGAGTTGTTTCCAATGAATTTAAAACTATAGATTTGATTCCAAGACCCTTTTAATCGCAATAATTTGTCCAGAAAGAGATGCTACGATGCCTCTGTTGATGAAAGCCGGAATCACTCGGGGTGACACCGGTAAGAACTTCATCGAGATGCTTGAAGATAAGCACACGGCACTATCGCAATGCCTTCTTAGTAAATTTGCTATACAGGCTGCGGCAAAATTGAGCAAAGACGATACATTTGGGGGGGGGGGGAATTTAATTTTCATTGTTACCAAAAATGGGAGAGAAATCGGTAAATCAGGTAATTCGAGTGTCCGTTCCTAAAGTAGTCTGAAGAAAGAGATTAATACTGCATGAAAAGAACTTCTTGCGAGATATTCCCTTATACCACTGGAATATCGGCCATTTAAGCGCCATCTCCCTTCATTTGTGAGAACCTTGTTCGTTCGAACAGCCGACACAGATGGCTGTCTCAGAAAGCTGTCTCACAGATATGACGGATGTTGCCTGCCGCACGGTCGCCGAAACGGGACCGACGCGGACAGTCCGCATTCCCCCAACGTTCCCCCTCTCGCAGTCGCCGTGGGCCCAACGTGGGGTGGCGGCCGAGTCCGGAAGGGACTGACACCCTTCCATGTTGCGTAGGCTGATCAAACAGGAAGGGAAATATGTACAGCAGGTGGTTACAGCAGATGTCTATGCGTTCATTTTTTTTTGTTGCAAAAGCTCGAGGGTCTGAGTGAACGGTCGGCAGAGCTTCTTGTTCCCTCTCCGCCGAAAGTTACTATCTGCAGCAACTTATTTCATTTATTTTTTCATCACCAACAGAGTTATTCAAATTACAAGCAACTAAAACGTTTACCATGAGTCGCACAAGGATCATAGTTGATGGCTGCAAAATGACCAACAATTTCGACGAATTATTGTTTGAACTGCCGGTCCAAGTTCGTTTTTTTTTCAGTATACGTATATACTACCGAGAGTTATTAATTCTAAACATGTTCTATATATGATTTTAAAAAAAGTTACATCTGATACGGGAGTAGTACTCCCTACGAGAGTACTACTCCCATATCATCGATTTGAGCAGATTAATTTCCATTCATTACGAGCACAAAGTAAAGGACTAATACAATTGTAAATGCTTAAAATGACAGGAAAAAGGGAAGCAAAGGTTTACAGGTAAAATCAGGAAAATTTGCACAAGATACTGGAAATGCAACGATATGGAAATTATGCAATTTAAAAAAGCTATCGAATGTCCTGATGCACTCGCATATACTCCACAACCAGCGTTTATATTGCGGATCGTTTTTAAATCCTTCCAAATTAATAACACTGAGAAGACGTCGAAGCTACTCCTTGCTCAATGAATGCCTGTGTCCATTTGAAGCTGCCAGTCATGAAAAAGTTTGCCCAATTCAGTCCCTTGTACCGATTTAAATATGTAATAATATATAATAAATATAGACTTCCAGGGAAAAAATGCATTGTGAGACTAGATATGGAGAAGGGTCTCATCCGGTGATGGATGTTGTCATGATCCCGATAGGATCCTTTTTCGCACGGAACTCAGCATGATCGAACTCGAAGCTATTGAAACACTGTTAGGAGAGGAAGGCAACGACGAGGTGTCAGCCGGCAGACGGGCATGTCAATATGGTCCAGACTCAGTTCCAGCGTGAGGTCCTTCCTCAGCCAGTTCTCGGATTCTCTCCACCCAGCCGAACGCCTGCCTACATCGGCAATTATGGTGGACGTTTCATTCCAACGCAATTTGTCCTGACTTCTAGGGTCTCAATTTTGCCAGTTGTGCAGATCTAACGTTAGAGTTCTTGTTGGCGAACCAATTCCAAACCCCTACGACGGTAACACCATGACTTCGGACGTGGCTTAGGAGTGAACTACTTATGGTTGAGGTGACGGTAGCTAAATTGGAAAAGTGAAGATCTGTCATAGTAATGATGATGGTCCATTATCTAACATGTGAGCTGGTCCTTTTTTTATTGGCCTTGTGAGTATATAAGTTCACTCAAATCGACAAATTGGCCTGGATGTTTCTTCCGGGATTATGAGAAATACACGTGAAATTGCTTTTTCTGTTTTGGTTGTTGTGAAATGGCCTTAATAAAAGATTTAATATTAAAATGAACAGAATAAGTACTATGCCTACCAATGGCGATGCTTCGTCTATTACAAGCATCGTTCATCTACCATTTGGATTTCGAACCATGTGGAAGGGCCCTCAGACTTAATTTCCACCCTATTTGAGTGACATCCACCTAGTTAAAAATCCACCTCGTCCCCTCCCGGTCGTTCACCCAGGTGACTACTGGTGGACGTTTTGTGGCAAAAGAGCAACGCCCCGTCCAAAGCGCTTAGACCCATGCACTATCGATTGCGCCGAGCCACTCATGCGAGATTGGGGGCCACTCAGGCCCGTGTCATTGGCCACGCCCCCGTGTAATTGCCATGTAATTTATATATCGATTCCGGGTCCGCCTCTCCAGCTGGTCCAGCTGGGGTCCCTCGAGAAAAACCTGTAATTTTCAAGGAAGTCTTGAGAGCAAGACCTGAAGTTGCATGCAAAATTCATGCCCATGATTAGCATTCGCAGGTTCCGAAATCCCGACGAATCCGGTCAGTTCTCGTGAATGAAATCGAATCTTTCCCTCTGTGCCCTCTCACCAGTAATTTTAGCCTGCCATTTCTCTTTGCAATCATTATGAGCTTGGGACTCAGATTTCGTAGCGTCTAGCAAGTTTGGATAAAAAGCAACCGTTCTATGAAGTTCAGTCGTGAAATGTATCCTTTTTCAGAAATAAGACAGAAGCAGTCTCTTCACTACTCGATAATTTCTCTCCTTCGAGTGCTGTTTGCTAGAACAGTAGAGAATGGTGAGAGCTTCCCATCAAATCGCGGCCTCTGTTCTGCGGAGTCTCCTTCCCGCTCTAGTCCTTTTTTGCAATTATTCTTCTGTAAG